AGATCCACCTGATGTTAGTATTTTGCCACACTGACTTTCTCTTTCTCTGTCTCAATCTACCTATCTATATAAGTGGTCATTTCTGAACCATCTTATAGTAAGCTGCATACATGATACCCCTTTACCTTTAAATATTTCAGCATGGATTTCCTAAGAACAAGGATATTCTTTTACATAACTCAGTACAGTGATCAAATTCAGAAAATTTAGCATTGTGGTAATATATAATCTAATACACATCCCATATTCAAGTTTCACCAAGTGCCACAATATGTAATGTCTCTTACAGCTGTTGTTTTCTCTGGCCCAGGATGCAACACAGGATCATGCACTGCATTTAGTTGTTATGTCTCTTTGGTCCTTCAATCTGGGACAGTCCCTTCAACCTTTCATTGTCTTTCATGACACTGACATTTTTGAAGAACACAGACCAGTTATTTTGTAGAATGTCCCTTAGTTTGGATTTATCTGACATTTTTTCATAATGAGATTCAGTTATGCAGTTTTGGCAAGTATATAGTGGAAATGTACCACATCAGGAGGCACTTGATGTCAGATTCTCTCATTATTGGTGACATTATTGTTGATCTCTCGGTTAAGGTGGTGTTTCTCAGGTTTTTCTACTGTTAATAACTATTTCTTACTTTATAATCAATAAACAACTTAATCAACAAACAACTTTAGGGAGATACTTCCCTGACATTTCTGAGCATTTACTGAGTACAGGCTGTGTTAGGTACTTCACATTCTGTATCTCATTTAGTCCTCATAACAAACTCTGAAGAAGTTTATTTTTGTATTTTCCCCCTTCCCCTTCCTCTCTCATTTTCCAGATGAGAGAACTGAGGCCTGTCTGAGGTCATTCAACACAGTTGTCTGTGACTCCAAAGTGCATAGTTGTTCACCAAACAGTATGTTTCAGGAATAGTCACATACCCAGAGCTCTTGTTGCCTAGATGGAGCACCTCACCCACTGTAGTAAGCCTGTGTCCTTAGGAGGAACTTAAGGACTATGCCATGAGGAACACGTCATGTTTCACAAAGTAAAAAAACAGCCCCAAACCCTTGCTTTTGCCACCCAAATAAGAATAGATCAGATTGGTCAACCAGATTCAGATCTAAGCATACATATTTATCATGTACAACTCTCTACGGTTGACAAAATGAAGCCACCTCTTTGTGCTATGCCATGGGGGTATGCATATGTTCTGATCATGCTCTGTGATTACAGGACTTAGCAAGCTACTCAGGTGACAGTTCTAAGAGTGGGTCTTGTTTGTCAGGCTCTGGTGCTTTGCTTTTTAAAGAGTGGGTCCATGACAGAGCAGACGTCAGAGCAAGGAAAGTTATCATGGATAAAGGGGGCATTGCATAATGATACAGGAATCAATTTTCCAAGAAGACATAATAATCTTTAAAGTGTATGCACCTAACAATGGAGAGTCAAAATATGTGAGACAAAAACTAATAGAACTTTAAGAGGAAATAGATGAATTCACTATTATAGTTGGAGACTTCAAAACTTCTCTACCAGAAATGGGCAGATCCAGCAGGCAGAAATGAATAAGGATATAACTAAACTCAACAGTGCCATAAGTCAACGGATATAACTGACATTTGTGGACTACTTCACCCAATAACAGCACAATGTACATTCTTCTCAAGTTCACTTGGAACATTTACCAAAGTAGGCCACCTCCTGGGCCATAAAACACACTAGCAAGTTTAAAAGAGTAGAAATCATACAATGTCTGCTTTGTATGGCATTAAACTAGAAATCAGTAACAGAAAGATAGCTGGAAAAATCCCCGAATACTTGAGGATGAAGTAACACATTTCTAAGTAACATTGCAGGATAATTTTAAAAATGTTTTGAACTAAATGAAAATGAAAACACAACTTATCAAAATTTGTGGGATATAGTGAAAGCATCTTGGAAGCAACCAGGATGTCCTTTGGTAGGAGAATGAATAAACTGTCGTACATCTAGATAATGGAAAATTAGTGCTTAAGAGAAATGAGCTAGCAGGGCATGCAAATATGTGGAGGAAATGTAAGTGCATATATAATAAATGAAAGAAACCAATCTGAAAGGTGTGCATACCATATGATTCCAACTCTATGACCTTCTAGAAAAGGTAAAACATGGGGAGAAGATCTCTGGTTGCCAGGGATTAGCAGGAAGGAAGGGTGAGTAGGGGGAGCATAGAGGATTTTTAGGATAGTGAAACTATTCTATTCTGTGGGATTCTGTAATAGCGGTATTGGGAAGGAAAAATATTCTTCTCTTCAAGGTTCTTCTGACTGGTCTAAGAATCAAGTCAACACGAGACAGATTAACAGAAGAAAATAAAATTTAATCATGTATTTACTGAGGAATCCATACAGACAGGAGATTACAAAGACAGGGACAATGAAGTATTTATGTCATCCTGAATTAAGGAGAAGGGGCACGGTCTGGAACTTCAAAGGGAAAGACAGCCAATTCACAGGAACACGAAAGAGTAAATGTTTGGTAAACATATGTTTGCTGAGCCACAAAGAAACAGTGGGACATACATAGAGAGGAATTTTCACAAACAGATTTTGCTAAATTCCTGCCTACAACCCCTAGGTCATGTTGTAATATAGCTATCTGTGATAGCTCTCTTTCTGGCTGCAGGCCCTCTGTCTAAATTCTTTTAGGCAGTTAGGGAGGTCAAAGTTTCTTGGTCTTTTGGGCCTTGGTTTTCTGTTTGACATGATCTGCATGCCAGAGTGGAACATCTTGGGGCAGCCTGCCCTTGGCTCCTACAGTAGATAGGAGCCATTATGTATTTGTAAAACTTATAGACTGTATAAACACAAAAGGGGATCGTAATGCAAACTATGGACTTTGGGTGATAATGATGTGTCAGGGTAGGTTCCTCAGTTGATACAAATGTACCAATTTGGTGGGGGATGTTTATAGTGGGAGAGTCTCTTGTATGTGTGGGCAGAGGGTTTAAGGGAACTCTGTTTAATTAAGCCTTTCACTTAATTTTGCTGTGAACCTAACTGCTCTAAAAAACAAAGTGTATTAAAAAAAAGTGGATCCTGATAGAATTAAGTATTTTATTTTCCTTGGTGACTACAACTATCTTAAGGTGTCTCACCAATTACTTAATGCAATTTTACCCACAAAGATGTATATACTTTGTGGGTAAAATTGCAGTATTTCCAGAATCTCTTGCCTAACCTTAGTTATCTCCATGTCAACAGGTGTTTCCAAGGGGTGGAGAGAAGTAGTCCATCTCCATATAAATGGGTAATTAAGTGGGTGACCAGGGCTTATCTGAACCTGAGACACGTGGGGAGTATTAGCTTTCTTCTGCTACAGCCTGGTCAGGAGAGAGATGGGAAGATTGCTTGTAAGAAATAAATGGGCTTCTTGACTTTATTTCTCCCTTTGACTGATTTCAGTTTTAGAGGTATTTTGCCCTGGTATATTCCCTCTGGAATTACAACTTTAGTTTTATTAAAGTCTGACAATTTTTAAAGGAAGGAGAGAGATGGGGAGGAAAAGAAGTAGAGGAAGTTGAGGAAAAATTATGAAGAGATGGATATAGAGTGTATGTGGATCTGGAATATGTGTGTGTGTGTCTGTGTGTTTGTGAATTAGGAAGAAGGTACAACAAAGACAAATATGCTTCTTGTGGTCTTTTCTGGTAACAACATTCTGCATTTTCAACTGCAGGCATAAAGGGGGATGAACCACTCTTTAATTCTTGCCCCAAGGGCAGTCTGGGCTACCTGGGGGCCGAGAGTAAAAGGATCTCCCTGATCCTGTAAGCAGCCTGCCAGAGGCCCAAGTCTGCCCTGAGGTCTGCTCCTTGCCGTTGTTTCCAGTTTCCTGGCTTCACTGCCTGATCCCACCTACAGCCAACCTGCAGAGGCAGCTGGGGATCAGGCCAGCTCCAGACAGTGAATGCTGGGTACTGGCTGGGGGAGAGCCAGGCTCCTCAGCTATCCACGTGATGGCCACATAAAGGGGACCCATGAGGACACTGGGAAAAACTGCCTACCTTTCAAAAACACAAGGTTCATAAGAAAGAAGGGAAAGAAATGGGAAAACTTTCTCTAGATTTCAAATGGGATATTGTAAGTAGGCTGGAAGCCAATTATACTTATGAAAGAAAGAGACAGGAAATAACAGGTGCCATGGGGACACTTCTGTGTTGTGTGGAACGTGGCTCCTCATGACTCATGAGAAGCCTGGGTGACAGGGGGCCGCAGGAGAGGGCCAGCTGGTCACTTTCCGCACTCACTTAATAGTGGAATCAGCCAACCACTTTGACTAGCTAGCTGCACTTCCTCTAATGTGAGTGAGGGAAGAGGAAAAAGGAGAGAAAGAAAGCTGAAGGGAAAAGTAGGGGAAGGAGAAAGAGAAAAAAAAGAAAAAAGTGGAAACCCAGTAACAAGGTAGAAGGCACTATGCTTTCATGACTAGTCTCCTTAAGTTCTTGAATGGGACATTTTAAGTTAAAGAACAGGGTGGGGCAGTTCATCCACTGAAGATGGGTTTATAAACAATGGAAATCATTTCTCACAGTTCTGGAGGCTGGGAAGTACGAGGTCAAGGTATCAGCACCCTGGGTGTCTGGTGCGGCCTGATTCTTGGGCCGTAGGCGGTGGTCTTTCCACTGCAACCTCAGGGCAGAAAGGGCGGGAGAGAGCCCTCGAGTCTTTTTTATGAGTGTGGAGCCGTAGTGACCCTAATCACCTCCCAAAGTCCCACCTGCAACTACTGTCCCACTGGGGATCCGGTTTCAACATGTGAATGGGGTGCGGGAGACACAAACGTTCAGTCTGTAGCACCACCCGGTCTCCCATGGGTGCCTGATGATTGTGAGGTCTGGTCACTGTGGGAGAGCTCTAGAGATTATAAATTGCTAGGCAAGTGTGAAGAATGTATTATTGTTCCAATCTTACTTTACAGTGTCAGTGGCAGGATTATATCAAATTATTTCTGCTTTGCACAGGATAAAAGCAGTGTTCAGTGCCATAAGTGATTCAACTGGAGCCATGCAGGTGAAACCAGGCAGTGATCTCGAGGTAACCCTGTCCATTCTTGACTCTTCGTCTTAGGCCCAGCTCAGCAATTTGTGTTATGGCTGGATTTCTGCATTGACTGTGAATCACTTCTGGCACCATAGTAAGTGTGAGAGACCATGGGATAAAGGAAAAAGTTTTATAATTTCAGTGGTTTTTTTTTTTAATCCTGATCACCTATTTTGCCCATCTTCTACCCACCCCCACCCCACCCATGGTAGTCCTTTGGGGAAGTGTAAAAAGTATCAGTGTTGGCCTGACCCAAGACAATTCACCTAGAACTCAGGATGTGACCCAGCATCAGTTCTTATTAAAATCTCCTTAGGTGGTTCTCATGAATGGAGGTGAGACCCTCTGATGTAAGCTGTCTTGAGTGATTGGACTTTGGTTCTGAGACGACTGAGTAACATTTAAGAGAGCTATGAGGCTGCTTTCATGGTGCAGGGCTCCCCTCTCTCTGTCATGGTGACCGGCCCCAGCCAGCACTGTCCCCTGTCCCCCGCTGTCTCATCGTCTGAGGGGTCAGCACTTTGATAGAGAACCAGGCAGTTCCAAGTGGCAGATCCCTGGGGACAGGATCTCAGGAGAGGAGTTGAACTGATAAAGGAGCTTCATGTGGCCAAGAACTGGCCCTGCTGCTTTGACAGAGGACCCCGGTGAGGAGACAGGACTGTTGGGGAAGGCAGAGCTGCAGAGTGAGGTTGACAAAGTGGAGGCTGTGGAAGCAGGAATATCCCGGAGAGCAGAGATGGTGAGGTGGTAAGGGGCTCAGGCCTCGGGAGTTGCTGGCCTGAGAGTTAGGATGCAGTGGCCAGAGTTATGGCATATCAGTGTCAGCCATGGTGGGCTCCAGGTCAGTCTGTCAGGTCCAAGCTGGAACTCTGCATGGGGCAGAGGAGTCCTAGCACCACAGAGAGGTCCCAGAAGGAACATGTAAACACAGAAATGAACCCACAGGCTGGGAGAAGCAGGCCCCCCTCACGGTCCTCCCACCAGCCTGGGTTGCACAAAGAGATTCCTCCCTGTGTGCCAAATTAGGCTGCTCCCAACCATATAATTTGTGGGACCTGGCACAGAATGAAAATAGGGACCCTTTGTTCAGAAAACAGGAAAAAGGGATGTGAAAAGTACTAAATTATACAAACCAAGGAAGCAAACAAAACAAATAGACTCATAAACATGGAGAACTAACTGGTAACTGCCATGAGTGGGTCGGGGGTGGTGGAAGATGGGCAAAATAGGTGATGGGGATTAAAAAAACCCACTGAAATTATAAAACTTTTTCCTTTATCCCATGGTCTCTCACACTTGCTATGGTGATTTTAAAATCATTTTTATTTTGATAATTTTTTATGATGATTATTTTTGCTATTTAATGTCTAAGTAAAGTCAAGTTGAAATTTGAGATTATTTACAGATTTTTCCATTCAGCTTAATATTGATGCCAGTTTTAAATGCCAACATAAGAGTGTTCAACTCATATAGGCTCACAAAACCACACAATTTGTATTTCATGCCAAATATATGCATATGCATTTTGTTCAGACCAGAACGATGGAAACACTGCGCAAAACCAACTCAACTGGTTTTATTTTACTTCTTGATATGTGCTCATTTCTGCCAACTTTCTCTACCTTTGCTTACTGAGGAGTAAGGAGGACTGAGGGTAAGGGGACAAGGGGTTGCCCTATCTTTTCCTTTTCTTTGTGTCATCATTTTCAGTGTAAGTGGTTGGAAGTGACTGGCAGGAATGCAAGTAACACAAGTAGGAAAGGATACGATAGGGCTCCTTGGTAGTTCCTGTTTTTTTAGCACACCATTGTTTTCTTTCTGTTCAAAGTGAGTTATGGTTTGAATGGACAGTGTGGCCTTTTGGGGTTGTCAGCACCCCCAGATATCCAGTTGTAGATTTAACATGTACTTTGTAGTCAGTTTGAGTCTCACTGACACAGAGTGGATCCACCCAAATTCTATGCTTATGGGGGCATTGAGAAAGCTCTATGCTTAGGCGGTAGCAAGGAGATACAGGGAATATGCATACTGAGCACATTATCTCTGCCATGTGAATTCTCCATTGTTCCATTGGGCTTCACTTACAACACGAGTTCAAAAATAAAATTGAGAATTTCTAGGCATTTGGCGGCAGGGATGGGTGTACTGGTGAGGGGGAATAATTAGTGAGAATGTTTGCTATCTCTATCTGAGCAATGGTTACATGAGTATATACATGTGTCAGAATTCATCAAGCTGTGCACTACAATTTGTTTATTTTATTGTATGTATCTCAATTGAAAAAAATGAAAAAAAATTTTCTAGGCAGGAATGGGAAAGCATTAAACCAGGTTTAAGTGCAGGGCCCTTCCAGGTTGCAGATCCCTGTGTGACTGCTCAGGTTGTATGTCCATGAAGTTGGCCCTGCTACAAAGGACAAGTTTTATTGGCAGAACTGCTCACAAAAGTCAGGAACTGGGATGTAGTTTGTAACCAAAAATGATTTCTTTCTGGTTTTATTTTAATTGCAATTTTTAAACTGAGGAGCTCATTCCTATTTAGAAATGTTATCACTTCTGTAATTAACCTCACGTTACAAGCCAAATCAGCTCCTGCCTAGATTAATTTGAGCAGGGAAATACAGAGCTGGGTGAGGAGAAGTATTAGCAGCTGGGGAAGTCAGAAATCCCCGAAAAGCTGTCAGTCAGGCTCGTTGTATGGAGCAGAGGGAAAAGCTAAATGCCTGATTATCAGATCTGGGATGTCATTGTGAGACTGGGCTAGCCCTGGAGGCTGGGAGACCCAGCCGGGAGGGGAAGGTCTGGAGGAAAGGGGTAGAAATGGACACTGGGGAGTTTCAGCAGAGGCAACCTGGGGCTGTCCTGGCTGGTGGCCTGGGGGACCTTAGGAAGGTCATGGCAGACATCCCGGCTGACTGTATCAGAGTCTGACCTCATTATTGGTGGCAGGCTTAAAGGATAGGACACTGGGTTCTGGGGGCCAAGCAAAGCTGGTTCCAGCTCCCAGAGGAAGTAGAGGAGATGAAGGCAAGGATTCAGGAATTTTGGGGACAGTATGCTCACTGGCAGATAAGGCAGGTTTTTGTTGTCAGAAGCAAGGCCAGAAGGAGTCCTGGCACTGGTCTGGGCTACAAGGTTGGGGCAGGAGTGCCCCCCTCCGGCTCCACAGATGTGAGTCTCTGAGCCTCAGGGGTCCTGACCACAGGATTAGCCCCAGTGCCCAAGGAAGGGCTAAGTGGCCCCAACTGGGGGTTTGGAAAGTTGTGAGTGGAGAGCCAGTGGTTCCAGAGTTGTTACCTATGTGTACCATTTCTGCTGGAATGCATTGGTTTACCCCTGATTCAAATTTTGTATATTGGGAAAAACAACACTGTGGTCCTCCTTTCCCCAAAGAAAATGTGGTTTTGCAGATGATCCTACAGTTTACATCCATGTCAGCCTGTTAAGCAATTCTTGACGCTCAGAATTCACCTAATTCTGCACTGGTCCTTTTCCTCAGGAGTCCTAGTGCTTTAAGCCTCACACACAAAACACAAACACAGAGACAAAAATTCACAAGGCAAAGAGTTTAAAATTAACAAATTGTAAATCAATCAATGTATGGATTTGAATCAGCAAACATGAAAAGTTCAGTCATTTCCAAACTATAGCCTGTGACCCTTAATTCATGTGCTCATTCAAATGGCACACCTCTTCACACAGGTAATGTGACCTGCCACACTTCCAGCCGCTGTGGTAGAGGCCAACGTGGTGTGATTCCCCATCAGTGGAGGTCGGGATCACTTTAGGATTCGCTAAAGTTGTGGGATGCTCCAAGCTGCAAAAGTTGCTCTTTCTCTGAACCAGGAATCCAAAGGTATCTTGTCACAGGGTAGATGGCTGTTTTGTGTGGACTTGTGGGGCTGTATGATTAGGGAACCTACATTTCCAAAATACGATTCCTTCATTTTCTGACTTTAGTTAGCAACCACAATGCATCTTAATTATTAACACATTGTCCTTTGGCTTCCAGGTCACGACTGCTGCATCTGTTTCTTGCCTCTTCCATTCCATAATCCATGAGGTTTTGCACATCTTTGGGAAATCCAAATTACAACTCTTCTCTGGCATAGGAAAAGGCGAGGGTAGTTGGTTTGAATTCTTTTGCATTTCCCTGAAGTGGACTGTAGATCTGATCTACTGACTTAGTTCCACATGTATAATTAATGGAGAGTGTGTTCACAGCTCCTACTAAGCTGCTTGATTGACATCGTGAAGAGAGCAGATGCAGGGCTGGTCTGTCAGCCAATCAGAATTCCTGAGGACAGATAACACAAGGTCACGAATGAAGATTGTATCTTGACAGGCCTTGAAGGGAAGTGAAAATAACCAGGTTTTGATTTGCACCCATGGTCACTGCAGACTCCAAAGATGTCATTTTCAGATATTTCCTTGTTTTTCTTTAGAGTCATAATACGTCAGGCTCAGCTAGATGAAGAGCTAAATTAAAGGTGTCATTTCAGCTCATAAATAACAGATGTCTAATGCATTTAATTATTTATAGTCTTGAATCTTTCAAAAATGAAAATGACTCTACACATTTTTAATGCAGTTCTTGGTAATTTGCCGCCTGACTGATAAGATTTGCCAACAATCCTGGATTGCAAACATGAAAAATAAAACTGAGACGGACTCGTTTATTTCGCAAGACTGCTTCTTTGCTCCCTTGTGGCTTTAACAAAATTTAAATTAAAGTGAAATATAATCACGACAAAATGATGTTCATATACTGATATTAATAATTGAGTTTTCTGAGATCGTGTGGTGGGTGCCTGGCTGCCAGAGACTTTTTCACTGCCTGAAAAATCAATGCTTTATCCTTCTCTGAACCCTACTCTGATTGCCTTAATCAGAGCTTAATAGAGAACGCTTACACCTGGCCCCTGAGCATGCCTCCCAGATCATATTTGCAGATTTGGGGAGGACTTAAGTATGGTTAAGAAAGGCCAATGTGACATCAGTGACACCAGGAAGAGCCCCTCATTCCTAGAGTATTAATCTCTTCATTGGGTGAAAAATCGGTTTCCATCAGACTCCAAAATGGCTTAAATTCACACTGAGCTTAAATGGCCTATGTTAGATCCTGATAATAATTTTTAATAAGATAAAAGAAGAAATACTTAAGATGCCTCCATTATTTGAGGAATCACTTGAATCACTTTCTTGGTGAGCAAAGAAAAACTTGCTTTTGGTCTAGTGGTATAATGAAAAGTGAATTAATTTGGGAATAATAATAAAAAAAATGTCAGTTTGAATCTTAGTTCTAACAATTATAAGCTAGTGTCCTTGAGTAAATTACTTAAAATATTTAGGGCTCAGATTCTTTATTTCTAAAATCAACATAAACAATACCTGTCTCCCAGGGATGTTGTAAAGAGACATGAGGTAACATGTAACACACCTGTACTTAGTAGGTATACTATAAATGTTAGGGATCTTTGTATCTGGCTGGGGAAAAAGCAACAAATTGCTCATTAGTGAAAATGATTAAGTGAGTTGTTCTCTAAAGTTTTTTCAGCTGGGCATACCTGCATCCACTGCTCCCCAGCATTGCTGTTACTCCTGCAAACCCTTCACTGACTTCCAGTGTAAGAATAGAAATAGGTTAGCATAAGCATAGCCATCTTAAAGGCCTAGAAGCCATTTTCTGAGTATGTGACTTAGAAAGAAAAACTGGAACTGGGTAAGGCCTTGAAAAACAAGCTAATCATGAACACCAGATGGTGGGCAGCTGTGGCCTTTAGTCAGCTAACCTTGGTCAGCTAATCCTACATACCAAGCTTATCGTGCAGAACCTCCCTGACAATTGAGGAGTGGTCTTATCTTGCTCCTGCCTAACCCCAGGATGTATGTCTTGCAAGAATAATGTGCAGCTGTGGAAAATTACTATGAGTTAAGTGTTTTGAAAATGCTATATAAACCCTTGGCTTTGAGTGCTCGGGGTCCTTGTTGAGACCCGCTGCATCGGGCTGACTTGGACCTCAGCTAGCTAGCTGAATAAAGACTTTGCTTGAATTTACATCTCTATGCCTGTGTAGTTTGTTCTCTGGGGAAGCCTTGGAATCCTGGACCCTAACACCAGTTCTGCTGGGTGCCTCCCTTTGTGATTTCCCAGGTCATTTTGCTGCTCAAACATGGCTTTGTAGTGAGGTTGTCAGTCCCCCCTGCAGAGAAAGGTCCCTTCCCCCAGCTTGTCCACAGCCATATGTAACCCCAACGTGTCACTGGTCCATCTCAGAGTTCCTGGGCAGGTACCCCTGAGGTCTTACTCCCAGATGTTGGTGGGGACCATGTGGAGCTCCCAGGAGAACAGGGGAACTGTGGTGAAATGGAGAGGTCACACCTATCTGAAATGGGGCAGCAGCTTATGCTCAGCTCAAGAGGATTATCACTTTGCGTGAACGTGGGCCCAGGGTTGCCAGGTCTTTAGGTACCAAGAGAGGACAGATACTGAGGGATTATGTGAAAACCTAAATGGTCCAAGTTTTAATGGTGACAAGTTATTCACATTAAATACAACAAATTAGAGCCTGTGAGGATCAATGTTGTGTTGTCTAAACAAAGCAGGCCTGTGGCTTTCTGGTTTGACCTGTGGGCTTTTGGTGTTTCACTGGCCAGGCTTTTGGGTGCCATTTACCTCTCAGAGGTCTTAGACCTCCTGGGAGCAGCTACAATTTCTCCTTTAGTAGCTGTAAAGATTTCCCTCTTTCTCATGGGGTTCATGACATTTTGATATAGCCTTTGGATACTGTAGTTATATTCATATCTATTTTGGGACCATGAAAAAAATGACTATTGAACTTAAAAAAATCAAGTGATGTCTTTAACCCTCACTCCATCCCTGACTTTCAAGTCTCCATCATTCTCTTATCCCTTACTCTCACTTTATCCCCAAAAGTCCCCAGAGGTAAGGGGTTTAGAGGTGGGATAAGAATGTCTATAGTGCACAAATCTTAGTGATTAAAAAGGCTTGCATTTTAATGGTTTAAATTTTAGCCCTTGTAAAATGGCCCAGTGTTAAAACAGGATCTTGCTTAAGATCTTGCAAAAATAAGTGTTCTTAGCCCTAATTCTTCCTGGCAGAGGTTATCCCTCAAAGACTGGGATATTACTGGCTTACAATCTCTTTTCCTAAAACTTGGGACAGATAGGTTTCAGAATTCACAATAGTTTGAATTTTGGAAATATAAATGTTATGGAATGCTTCCAGGACAGTCTGGAACAGCATCTGATAATAAAATATACTGAAATTTCTATAGCAAAATACAAATATTCACACTAAGTGGGATATACATAAAGGCATAAATAGCTACATGTCAGTTCACATCACAAGATGATGCCAGATGAATTACAGAAAAGATCCTGGTTTTGGATGTCAGGATTTTGGATGAGGGACAATAGATCCATGTACAGATCGTACACCTGTTTGTCCAGTGACAATCTCCTTACTATGGCTTCATTGGAAATCCCATTTTGATCTTTTTTATACTAATCCATACTGCCTTATCTCATTGAATCTGTAGAGTTACATAAGGCTATTTTAATTTTCTCTTATTTTCTAAATTCCTGCAATGAATATATATACTTATAATTGGAAAAATACATTAATAATTTCACTTGAGGTTTTATAAAGTTGGGCAGTAGGATATCCATACCGACTATGTGGGTGACCTGCTGAAAACTCAGTTCCAGTTTTACTTTTCACTGCTGCAACATGAAGTCCCCTGGCTGTGGTTACCTCATTAGGAAGAAGGAGGTGGAAGGAATTCCCTCCTTACCCACCAACCTCCTGTTCCTCTCTCCACTGCTTGACTCTCAGAGGGGTAACCAGGCCTCTGTGTTTTTATAATTTTATTAAGGTTATGGTAGGACATTCTGGTTTCAGGGGACAAAAAGATACCCCTGGGAGAGGAGGAGCACATTCCACAAGGTTGGATGGGTGTCCGGATGCCGGGACTGGTGCTGGCATAATGCCTCTGAGGCAGCAGGATCTCAGGGAATGACCACTTGTCACTCGAAGTGGTTGGTAACTAATGGCGATGGCCTTTAGAGCACAGCTTGCATATGGCGGCCGGGGTGGAGCCGGGGTCTGCCAAGGCCAACTGCGAGCCCCTGCAGCTGCAGAGGAAAGCTGGACAGCACCACTGTGAGGCAAGGCAAGGGCAGGACGGCCCTGTCAGATGCTAGGTCCTCTTGCTCAGAGAGGGAGTGGAAGGGGCTTTCTTTCTGGACTGTGTGAATTCCTGGGGGCCTTGCACCATCCAAGGCAGAATGGGGAGTTCCTAGAAGGTATGCCAGACTCAGACCGGTCCTGAGAAAGGCAGATGTGACATTTGCTGCATCTGAAGGCCGGGGCACTGTTTGGGATTATTGCAGCTGAAAAAAAGGATTGTGATATAGGAAACTATCATATCCAGGTTTAAAAAATTTGAGTCTCTTGTATTATTCTATAGTGTTTTCTCACCTGGATAATGATGTTATCAAAAGGGGAAAAGAATAAATTGATCAAAGTTCTGACATGGTGGGAAGATATTAGATATCTATAAAGAGGGCTGAAGGGGAAAAGGAGGGGAAAAAGCCATAGAAACTGGGGATTGGAGGGAACCCAGTCTACAGGTTTACTAGGGGTCAGCCAGCTTCTACACAAAAATCATAGTTAATCAGGGTTCCCCTCCCAGGATCTTTGACCCTATAGGTCAATGCCATTGTGCTGGGACCCTATGAGCAATTTTCTGAATCTCTAAAAGTAAGATGGTGAGCGTGAATTGCCCTCTGAAATGGCTCTGTGGGCTAGCCAGAACACACCTCTCATTGCTTTTGCCTGGGGTTCTATTGCTTGAGTGTGGGAGCAGTGATTAAACACTGATCAGAGAATATGCGACGTTCTAGGATGTATTAATAATTAATAGAAAAATGGGTGAAACAAGCAATTCATGACCCAATGAATGTAGTTTGTTTGGTGGTCAGAAATGATGCCAAAAACACAGTATTGGGTAAGGGGGGATTTATAAAAGACATCTTAGGAAAAGGCCGAGAATCCCTGTGGACTCAATTCTGTCCCCTACATTTCCCAAGACCAGACAGCCAGTCATTCCCTGTGGGCTGTGAAGATGGGTGACAGCCAACTGCTGCCTGATGGAGTTGTTCTTTAAATCATCAAGAGGGAGACTTTTCTTTTCAGAAGAGTGGAAAATTTAGGTTTTCCTTGTTGATGCACATTTAATCATTCAGGTTCTCAGTAAGTGAACTTGAACCAGTCACCCTATAGATTTCCTGACACAGAACTCTGTGGGTGTCTTTTTCTCCCTCATCTTCACTTACCATCTGTTTCTTATTCCTGCTGTCTGTGGGTGCTCTGTCTCTTTCCCTCCGCACACGTTTCCATGGCTCCTGCTCTGGCCACTCTTTTTTCCAACCTTCCCCTCCCGCCTTGGTCTGTCAGTATTTCTCCTTAATACTTTTATTACTACAGAGGTCCTTCTGTGTTCTAGGTGCTATGCTGGCTCATGTACAAAAGTTCCCTGCAAAGACTAGTTGCTAAGTAAATGTTTAACTCTTTCTACCTTTCACTGCTGACTTCTCATGCAGAATAAATCTCATTTCACCCTTTCTGTGTGAGGTCATGTCATTAGGGCACTGAAAAGTCTCACAGCTACTCCCAGCTTGGTAGGAGTCACATGGCTGCTTCAGCTTGCTGGGAACTGGGTGGGGGCGAGTATGCACATACACCCTTGCAAACCTGTCCTGAACATTCCTGAAGGCATCTGCCACAGGGATCATCCCAGTGTACAAAGGACCGTTGGGATTCTGCTGGCAGTCTGACTCCCATTGAGGGGCCTTAGAGTTTCCCTCTGGACTCCTTGGACTGATATACTTAGGGAAGGACTCCTGTGTGCTGGTGATGTAGAAGTTAGAAAGTGGATAGGGAAACCCTTCCTCCAAATCTGGGTTTGCAGTGAAACCACTAGCATCCTCAGACAACTGCTGTGGCTGTTTAATTGTAATCCTTCTTTGGCTCAAAGATGAAGCCTTTTCAGTTGTGCCTGATTCCTTGTAGGGATTTTGGGGTTGGTTAGTGGCTACCCCCAACATATGCTATGAGGCTAGAGGCAGTTTGGCCCAAGATACTCCAATCCTTCCAAACTGGGAGGGAAATTAAAGTCCTAGTCTCTTAGATACACAGTGGTCATTTTAGTTTCTTAGCGTTTCCATCTAAATTCCTGCAAAGGAGGTAGCTTAAAACAGCAGAAATTTATTGTCTCACAGTTGAGGAGGCCAGAAGTCAGAAAGCAAGGTGTTGGCAGAGTTGATTGTTTCTGGAGGCTCTGAGGGTAAAGTAGCCCCAGGCCTCTCTCCTCCTGGTGCTTACCACAGTCCCTGTGTTCTCTGGCCTGTAGGTATATCCCTTCAAATCTGCCCCCATCTTCTGTCACCTTCTCTGTGTCTGTGTGTGTCCTTTCTGTTTTTTTTTTATCAGGACACTCTCACTGAACTTAGGGCCCATCTGAATCCAGTAGGATCTCTCCTCTCCATCCTTACCTAATTATGTCTGCAAAGAACCTGCTTCCAAATAAGGTCACATCCTGAGGTCCTGGGTGGACATGCATTTCGGGGACACTGTTCAATCCACTATAGTGTGTCAGCCTAGCACAACCCTCCTTTCCTCTGAAAGTCAGTCCCTTATCC